ACTCAACGATGACATTGGGTGGCGGTCTGCGCTATATCGTGAGCTAACAGAAGTTGGAAATATGGAGCATTGGATTCTGACCCAGTGGCTCAATGGTAACGCGCTGGTCGCGGAACCTGAAGGTCGAGGGTTCGATCCCTGCTGGTGGGGTCGTGGGTGCGCACTGCTGAGGAGTCCCATACTAGGACGAGACTTAAAAGATTGTCTAGAAGTTATCAGGGTCATATTTTAGGCCTGTAGAACTTGCAGATTTACAAAAATCTAGGTCTATCTTGTGTCAAATACAATTTGTTATTAGTTCAGACCTTCTCCAGTACACATTATTTCAACACCGGGGTAGTGTAGAAATATAATCTTCACTTAACAAACATTTGATTTCACAATATTTATTACTGTAGTAACTTTTTGTTTAGCCTTATTACATTTTTATTCATTATACAGAATGGCATGATAAATGATATGGTTAAATTGTGCGTAAACCTGGTTTAGTGAATATGTAGTCATGCATAATTTAGTCCCATTTCCACCTTACTTTTAGTGCTAATAATTCGGTTATATTAGAGCAGTCAGATCTACACCCTCCTCTTCCCAAAGATTATATTTTCGCTTCCAAATATGATAGCACTCTGAAGTCTTAACTAACCCAGGAGTAGAAAATTTAATAGGGTTGTGTGTTAGGTAGAAGCAGTGAAACTAGTTTCTTAAAAAAGAAATTAACTATTGATTAGTTGATCTGATTTTCGAAATCCTTTCCCTCCTATATACCTTCGTGAATGACTTTAAAGGCCATCGTAGCAACAACTGAAATGACCAATCAAATTTCTCTATTTTATGAAAATCTTCCTTTCCAGCCAAAATGGATAAATTTAATTGGTTATTTCAATTGGTACTAGGGTGGCCCTTAAAGTCACCCCACTTTCCTCTACTTTGATATCACTCCTTCTCCAACCACTTATTCTATGCATGCTACTATGAAGCGTGGCAACTTGAACCGATGCACCTCTGTGCAATGTCCTAAGCTGACATTGTCTCTGGTTGTCTGTCTGTCTGTCTGTATGCATAAGAAAACCACTGGAATATAAACTAAACAGCTATATAAATTCCACTAACCAGGACATGGACTAAAATATATCGTATCAGGATAACTAATATTACCTGGTTTCTCAAACTTCGGAAGATGAAACGAACCTATGTTCAAGTGGTTAGCGCCTATAACAATGAGATGCATTTTCACATTATCAGAGTAATTAGTAGTAGGAGACCTTGGTAGGCACGATTGAAAATCGCTGACAAGAACACAAACGTACACATCCTTAATCTTTAACAAAGTTCTGAAAATGTGTCCGCCCTTACTTGATTCATTTTTGACCTCAACTAACATCTAAAAGGATTTTACAAGCGCTCTGTTGACTTCATTCTTTTTGTCACGTTTTGAAATGGAATAACTTCAAGTCATGAAACTTTTGAGAGGCTTTATGTTCATATTGTAAATTGGTAGGCAATCGACACAGGGTCACAGAGAGATGCACTCAGCAACCTTGTTTACATTCATGAAGTAGGCTATATCCAATACCTATTGTGTGAGGGCTTCCCGAACCCCGGTAGGTGGAGCGGGGTTCAAACGCATGATCCCTCATTTGAAAGTCATCTCTCAAAGCCAATAAATCACAGCTCTAAATAGCCCTGAATCTGGGTTATGTTTACTGCTATTCGGTAGAAAGATAAACCTGAAAAAGGTTACATTCTCTTAGGCATTCGTACCTATCTCACTCGATTCCTACGTCAGACACTCTATCTACTATTAAGACATTCAAATCATGAATGATTTTCTGCATGAATGCATTATGTACGCAAATCGGTCACCTGATGGTTACATTACCTAAACAACATACTATATGCGCTATGCTTATCATATTTGTCCATCCGTCTGTCAGCTATCTTCGTATATGTAACAAAGAAAACAGCTAATTAGTCACTATCTATAGATTTTCATGCAATACAATACTGATTAAGCCGTCCCTACAACGACTAGTTGTATCTCTCTCTCTCACACACACACACACACACACACACACACAGAGGATAGATAATGGTTATAAACTTGTGATAAATTGCATAACTTTATTGGTAAATACTACTAATCCCCAGAAAATAAACTACATGACAAGTAATATCTTATTGCTTAAAAATTCCTTTGTCAATAATCAGATAGGTCCGACTGTACTACTCAATTAGATAATGATCGGATCATTTAGTTAACCGTAATGACTATTTTATCCATCATATGAAATCATGTGTTGTTAGTCTATTGATGTTCATTGTCCCAGTAACCAGTTAACTACTGATGCTAGTCATCTCTCGTCTCTTACCTAAACTCTGCATGGTTACGATAAAGAACCAGAGAGTTCAATAGATGATCATATTGCAACAGCACAATGCATAACTTCATTCTGTTTTGGGTTGTTTTTTTTTTTTGATGAGACATTACACATAGTGAAATAGTACTAACTACCGGATGACACTCCGAAAAGACCAAAAGTAACTGCACACCCCCTTCACATCCTGTTTTTACACTTACTTCTATTTCTCCTGCTTCACTTGCTGTATGGGTAGTAGAATTTTTTAAATATCTCGAGTAGGTTTTGAGCTATTCTTATTGTATTAATTCAGTGTTGATTTGATAAACGAAACTTTAGTTATCAGTCTCTCCCTCAATCCCACTAAGTTAGCCTCAAGGACTATCACTGTTCCACTGAAGCAACCACTGAAATCATTTCAACTGGAAAAGTCAATCTCCTTAACTAACTTAGTGAGGTGCAGAGAGAACCTGATAACCGAAGCTTCGTTTATCGAATCTACGTTTAACTCATACAATAGGAATAGCTTAACACATATTCCAGATATCTGGAGAATTCGACTACCCATAAAATAAGTGAAACAGGAGAAACAGAACTATAAAAACACGATTTGGAGGGTCTGAAAGTACTTTTGATAATAAATTCTGTTAGGAACAAAATCAAATCAATATCAACATAGGACCGGGCATTACTGAATAACGGTCCAACTTGCCCCACCACATATTACTACATCAAGTAAAAAGGCAGTGAAGCGCAAGATGAAGATAAGAAAACTCAGTCCAAATAAAATATAAAGTACAAAAAGAGAGAAAGGAAGAATGAGAAAATGGTGAGATTCGGTATAGTGTCGTCAACATGAGGATAACATGTGTATACATCTGCGCCACTCACATCAGTTCTCAGCCATGTGATCACCTAGAGTCAGTCTCCAACTACTGGTCACTCTTGTCCGCCGACCCCAACCACCTAGTCTACATCGCCCCACAGAGCTCAAACCAATAGTCAGAGACTTCATACATTGGTGTGATGTTTTAGTCTGGCCACATCAGGCCTTTTTCCACTCTGGACCTACTTCCACCAATATTGTGTGAAGAGGCAATCGGTGACTAGGCATACGTAGTACGTGTCCCAACTATCTCAATCAATGAAGGTTCATAACCTCGTCAACTGACCTACCTCTTCTCCCTAAAACTCTACACCTGACTTCAGCGCTACTTACGTTGTGGCACTACGGAATACGGTCTATACTACGAAGGTAACGGCGACCAAACACCTGAAGCCAGACTTCTCATGTCTTCCACCTTGAATGGCCATGTTTCACAGCCATAGAGTAGAACAGACCGGACTGCTGTGCAGTACACGCGACCCTTAATAGACAATTGGATATCACGGCGGCGCCATAGGTGGCGTAAGTTGGCAAAAGCCAATCGAGCCTTTTGTATCCGTACAGGAACATCATCCAGTAAACAACACTGTTTCACTGTGACATATCCAACAAACAAACTAATATACGCTGTGACATAACTCTAGTTGATAAAATACTTTTAGCATACACTGAATGAATCTAATTCTCTCTAGTTGAGATCTCCATAATATAGTTAATCTAAACGCTTTGAATGCAATAATCCGTGTGCATAATACTACTGATGCATTTGGCAGTCAATGTAGAGTATGTATAAAAATAACAGCATTCTAAAAGTCTATGATTATTAAAATTCTTCACTGCATAAAGTAGTCAAAGTGGAGCCGTAGTTTATTGGTTTGAGTAATCATCTTTTAAGCAGTAAGATGAACGATTCGAACCCTACTCTACCTACCAAAGTTTATGTAGCTAGGTAGCAAGTATCCCTAAATGGTATACAATAGTACTAGCCAATTGTCGAGTATATGAACATGATTAGAACAGATGTTTTATATAAAGTTGAAAGATTACGAATTATAAACGCAAACAATTCTGTATTTTCTGATATTTATTCAGCTAACATTCAGAGATGATTGCTACTCCAGTGTAGTAGGTCAATAAATATTTGAATGGAAAACGAATATCATTATCTAATTATTCGCAGAAAAGTGTTCATTGAATAAAATATTCGTGGAATGACATAGACTGGAGAACTACCGAAAACCTGGGAGTACTGGATACCTGTTTCGTCCTAGCATGGTCGTCCTCAGCGGCACGCACACAACTCTCCATCACCCCCCCCCCTATTTTTTTCATGGTTCTCCAATAGATATCAGTTCGTGATGAATCCCAACTAACATCAAACTACAATAAAATATTCAACTGAATATTTTCATATTGTGTGATGATTGAAGGTGAGATGAAAATCTGGACCACAGCCAGATTCGAAGCATCGACCACCGTGATAAGATTTGGAGCCATTCACTACTATATGCATTCAATGTTATTGCTGAAACATATCCGGTGGTCACTGGTTCGAACTAGATCACGGTCCAAATTCTCATCTCATCTTTAATGATTACCCAGTATAAATACTAGTCTGCCAAACTACGGCTATCTCAAATAGTCAAAATGATAATGAATGTTTTCATACAATAAATCGTTATACACCACAACACACAATAACATTGTTTATCTATTCAATAGGGGAGAAAAAAAACTCTTAAACAATTCATACTTACAGTAATTACTTCGGAAATAATGAACAGTATAAATTTTACAATTAATTCCATATATGTGAATTCAACAGTATAATATTGAAAAATAAAATCCATATTCATGATGCTGAAGATATACTTTCGTTGATAATTTTCATCATTAAAATCACTAGTCAACTCATGATTAAATGATAAACTAAATTTATAAATTGTAAAGTCGATTGGAATAAGATGGAATAGGAAAATTTCATCACATAGCTGAAATTTTAAATAAAAATCATAATAGCATTGAAAGTAACAGACTAAATCAGTTGATAAGTTGAAAAAAACATATCATTATATAATAAATAAGCTCAAATTCATGGTATAAATAGAGATAAAGTGTACTATGAATTAATATCAATCAATAGTAGGGCAAACCTGGTGGCTGTAAAGATAAATACCCAATGATGACATTAGGTGATGGTCGTACTATATCGTCAACTAACAAGAGTTTGATAAATGGACCACTGGACTCCGACCAGATGGCTCAATAGTAACATGCTGGTCACGGAACCTGAATATTCTGGGTTAGATGGCTGGCAGAGTGGGTTCATGTGTGCTTACTGGTGAGGAGTCCTATAGTGGGACCAAACAGCTATCCAGTGCTCCCAGGTTCCCAATGTCCCTCCAACTGGTATCAGTCCATGATGAATATAGACTAGATTAACCAGTTAAAGAACACTGGACAGATAATTCAGGAGTGTGTATACACACTTCTGAATGCAATCATAGGAAGATCTCGAAGTCTTGTATCACATAAATGTCTAGCCACTGCCATTTGGAATCCAGTAGTCAGAAATTTACATTGATTTCCGTTAATCCACAACGTACCACGATCGCGATCGAATTTCATCACAGATCATGCATTCGGACTCCTCTAGTTTTGTCGGGGTGAAAGGGTAGGTATTTTGTGAAACTTTTGAGCATCCAACGTTATGTAGCCACTCTTCTACTAAAAGATATTTCGATTAACCTATGATAGATAGATAGATAGATAGATATATGCAATCAGCATGGCCCTATTAAATGAGGAACAAAGCAAATTCTAGTATGAGCATCTTTACTTAATCCAGAACAGCCAGCTGGCATCACTTCGTAAACGTCTATGTTGCCACATCACATATCATCGCATCACGATAAAAGACACCAAAGTGAAAAATAGAGAAATAAGGAGAAAACTAGTCAAAAGTCATGGTAGAAAAACAAGAAACAATGAAATAATAATGATATTCAGTATGACAAAAGATAATGTGTATATGCATCTGAGTTACTGACATCGATCACGAAGCATATCACCTAGAGTCTCCAACTACAAATCTCAGTTGACATGCACACCTCTAGAAAGAAGTCTATATTTGGAAAACGAAAGAACAATAACGGGACCACGATAGAATGGATGCATTTTATTGTGGTGGTATCTTGTCAACTCCTCACAACTTTAACTCACTGAAAGAAAACAGAATATCGGTCAGTGGTTAGGTTGGACAGAAATAGTCATCCAGTAAAGGTCAATCATTAACCTCTGAATTTGCAGTTATGACTGACCTTTACTGGATGACTATTTCTGTTCAACCTAACCACTGACCAATGTTCTGTTTTCTTTCAGTGAGTTAAAGTTGTGAGGAGTTGACAAGATACCACCGAAATAAAGTGCAACCGTTTTATCCTGCTCCCACTGTTGTTCTTGCGCTTTCAAATTCATAAAGTAGAATTCATGTATGAAAGGTTAGTATTTTTCCCACATACACCAACAATGAGAAACTTCATGGACTGATGCCACATTTTAGTATGACCACCAGTAAAGTTTTGTCAGCAAAAATATGTTTCAGCTAACACTTTATAATGGAAAAGACGATAACCAGGTATACGAAACACATATCTCCACCATCTCAGTGGATTAACGTACACAAAATCATCACAGAACCTACGCAAAACTACACCTAACTTCTACACTACTGATAATATGGTTCCACGACACAACCCATACTACAAAGGTAAGACTTGTCAAATACCTGAATTCTTCTCCTTTCCTTCTGTGGCCATGTTTCACATCTTTATATTAGAATCGAGCACACTGCGATTAGGTATCCCACCAGCACCGTAAACGGTGTAAGTTGGCAAAAGCCAATCCATGAGGAGATTTAGTCAGTTACTGACCCACTAGTGTTGGTCCAACTTCCCTAGCAGTGAATGAAGTGGTCAACGTGTTCAACCACTTCCCTCTCTACTGTTAGACGAGACGCCAACATAGACCAATCTTTAGGCAAAACTTTTCACTTGGTTTGTGAGAAACGAACCTCAAGGTGTTTAGAAGACTCTGCATTTTGTTAACATCTTCACTTAACAGGACTATAGGATCCGTGTACTCTCTGCTTAGTTTGTGGAAAATTGTAGATTATCTAGCTAGTCTGATTTGCCCGAGATAGTTTCAATAATGTGCTTCACATAAAGTCAATAACAACTTAGTATTCAAAAGTTAAGCTAAATCAATCTATCAGGAGTTCGGACAGTGTGTACTCCAATAAAAGTTAGGCTTTGAAGGTAATGCTGTAATATGAACTCTAATGATAAACCAGTTCAACCCCACTTTAGTTAACAATGAGCTTCAGGGTAGACACTAACTAGGTTCTTGAAACATGTGTCCTAGCGACCTGCGTTAATGAATATTTACAAACTCACCAACTAACTTACCTCATTTACCTAAGACTCTTAACTCCCGATGATGGTCAACATCCAATACAGTCTTAAGTAACTAACTTCACTTATCGAGTTGATACCAGCAGCTTAGCTTAGTATGTCAACTCACTACTTATATTACAAGTGGTATATGCACAGAGCAAAAATCTCCAGTTACATGTACGCTAGATACTGCTTTACTAATCAGTATGAAAAGATTCTCATTTAAAAATCTTGACAAAGTAAACTCTATAGTAGTTCAATGTTAAGCTGTACATAACACTGAATAATACTGGTCGCATGACAAAATTAAAATGCTAAGAACTCAGTTAATTTAATAAGCTTACTGTTTCTGGACAATTTACTTGGATAGTACGATTGTGAATTGGACCCATTTGAGCCAGAGAACTTTTGTCATCTGAAAGAGGCTTAAATGCTTTACTTTCAGTATTAGCAACAGCAAATTGCAGTGGTATTTGTACTTTTATAGATGTATTGAGATTCACTGACACCTTCGCATCCTCTACATGCAAAATAAACATAGGTATGCCTGTTTTAGAATGAATTAGGCATTTAGGCATACAATATAGTGATAGAATATTGATAAATTTGTAAGATGGAAAACGTAATTCAGTATAGGAACTTAGCTTACAAACACTGTGTCACAGATTTCAATACACTTAACCTAATTTGACTTAGGTAGTCAGGTCACATCACTAGCTCCTGCATCTTGGACGTGAACTATACACTTGAACAAAAACCAAGAGCATGCTATGCTGCACCTATATTACTACTTGTCACATTCAATTTAATGATCGTAATTGAATAGTTTACAAGGAAGGTATATTTGTAAAATCTTCTATTATCTCTGCGTGGAGTTTGAGTCTCGAAAGAAGAACGGTCAACCCTTCAAAATCGATGCGAAGATAAAACAACAGTAAACACTTAGGCAGGATAAGGAGGATGTAACAGTGGTTATGAACAAAATTGACTATGCAATTTGGAGGTTTGTGGAGATTCATTAATTAATTTTAAATTGGGATTCATCGTGGACTGACATCAGTTGGAGAAACATTGGGAACCTGGGAACACTGGACAGAGGTTTCGTCCTAGTATGGGACTCCTAGGCAGTAACCACCCATGACCCCACCAAGTATCTGCACTACTTAGGAGTCTCATACTGGGACGAAACAGCTGTCCAGTGTTCCCAGGTTTTTAATGTTCCTCCAAATGATGTCAGTCTATGATGAATACCAACCTAAAATCGATTATCACCGTAACGCACTTAAATATCTCTCAACCAGTCCCAGTGAAGAAATTCAGTCCAAGAAATGCCAAGTAATGCAGGGTTGGCTACCCCTACAATAAAGCTATGCTCTCGTAACTTCTCTATCGGCAGTTGCACCATAGACATGAACTATCCTTCCTATAATAACTACATCAACATTGATAGTATCGTTATTCGGACATATACACATGAAGCTAATGTTCTCATGAACGAACATGTGTAGAACTGATAAGACCTTCCAAATGGTGGTTAGTCAGGTATCACAAACAGTAAAAAGAGCTTCATTACCAAGTTAACAAACTAGGATCGATCACAGAAATTCAACTTTCGATTCATCTGATCCCATTTCATTTCCAATTATATCAAAATAACTTCAGATTAGTGCCGTATCATGAAGCGCTGACCACTAAGGCACTATTAGAACCCGTATTCTTTTGCCTCATCCATGAGCTGTGGTTCATTGGTTAAGGCACTCCGCTTCCAACCAGTAAGATATGGGGTTAAAAACCCACTCTTTCTACCAAGGTTTAGGCAACGAGGTAGTACCGCTAGCCGTCACTCAACAGGCGTAGTTTATTGCCTACTGCACAAATACGCAAGTGATAGCTGAAAGAGTTACATCTAGTAGGTTTTCAAGTGTGCACACTATCCTACCTATATCGTCTAAATCTGAATTCGAATGGATTCTTTTCATTTTACGGGGATGTCAGTCTATTCTGACCACCGATGATCACGGAAATTTAACTCTTGATATACCTCCACGGTTTGAAATATTAAATATTAGGATAATTTCGTCAAACTTACTTGCTCTGTTGAAAGTTGATATAACAGAAGGATTAAGCCTAGTTGAAATTCTAAATATTCAATCGTCTTTCTATAGCTGCTCTCTAGTGAGAACTAATCTAGTCAATGAGTCGATATAGGACCCATCAATGCTACAGAAGGGTCCAAGTTGCTACATCAATCCAGATATTCTGAAATATCACGTGCAGTTCTGCTGATCACTTTAGTATGTACTCATGAGCAAACAGCTAACAAACAAGTTTAGTGATAAGACCAGTAAAGCTGCCTCTTGATATGCTTCGTATTTGAGAAACCATTATTCAACATCTTACTGTAATACCATAAATTCCTATTTTATACATACTTAACCAGGTAACCAGTAAGGTGGAAATTAATTCATCCAAATACGGCGATGCAACTGACTGAATATTGCTTAGTAGTCAACTGTATAATGTCACATCAGAAGGTTTATTAAAAAGTAGCAACTATGTCTTTTCATTATGTCTCTTAAGATCCTCACAAACAGACCCAAATTAAACTAAAAGTGAGTTTAACAAATAACTACATCCCTTTCTCCTTTATGTAGACTAGGTGCACACTGGGTGAATAGATGAAGATTTCAACGTTCATATTGGACATCTGGAGTGCATAAATGCTATTTGAGCGACTAATGATGGAATATCTGTCACAGATCAAGTACTAGGAGTCAATTTTGTACAGATCATAACCAATTATTAGTCATCATTAGGATCCAATAAAGCTGTTGCCGATGCTTTACTAACAACTGCAGCCAAATTACGCAACAAATTACTAATCAGCTACTCACAGTAGGGATCAGAAAGAGGCTATCGCTACATATTACCTACTTAATTTTTGATGACACACTAATCTACAGCCTAGTGACAAAAATATGGTTGCTGCAAACGGTTATCAGTCAAGTACCTGCTGGAATTAAGATCTGCTGTTTGTACAATGTAAGGTGAAAATAAATGTTAACTCCACACACTCAACAAAAACTAACTCATGAAGTTAGGTCATTAGAGATCATATTGTGGATTTTTTATCTTCAACTTCAAAAAAAAGATAAAAAACGTGAAGTTTCTCTAAACACACCTTGTGTGATTCTCCTTTATCGTGATTATTCTCTTGCTATTCATCTCACTTTTCCCTTCATGCTGTCATATGATTCTCGAATTACTTTCTGCAGTGTCCTTCAATGTATATGTTGTATCAAGCTGACGTCAGCAAAGCGAGCGAAATTTCAAACACTATGACAGTTGTTTAAGGCACTTTATTCGACACTTTCTTAGAAAGGAGACAACAGTCGTTTCAGGAAGCTGACCGGAGTGCGAACAGTAAGACAGACTGTGTGACACCACTCGTATATCGGTTTGCTATAGCGAAAATAGATACATCCATGAGACTTAGGTACCATAACACTAGTAGTAAAAATACTGCCTACAGTCACACCACATAAGTTGTAGAATATGAGGACGGTGATTAAAAATGAACAGAGTAGGTCTTGTTTACATTGTAAACATATTAATTAAACATTTATTCTGCAAAAGATGCAAGCTCATTGTCACTTTGGCTTCAATAAGTAATTCCGTCAAGTAAGCCTGCTTGATTTTACCATCCCAATTCACCTTTTCTCGACAACATTCGACAGACATATCTGTAAGAAGTATCCAGAGGTTACATAAACTTCCTACACGACGACATATATTTTTGGTCTGATGTGAGAACGATATTTTGCTACTATGTAACACAGAAGTTTGATAGATTGCACTAACAAGGCATCTCATTTAAGCTATACCTGTGAAGGTCTGTTTGTGCACTTAATCTTAGAAATTGCACAAAAGGTGGTATATTTAGAATGTTGTATGAGTGCTCGGAAGGTTACAGAGCAATGCATCAACCATGACATACGAAAAGGCACAGTGATACGTATCAAGCAATATAACGTTCAGTGGCATCACGACATTCGCCTGGCTTCCAGTGTGGTCTAGCTTTACAGTTGTGACAATGATGATTTCAAGGTGAGGATTTCAGAAGCTGGTTGATCATCCTTGAAGCATAGTGAGTGACAGCATTGTATGTGTAGTGCTGAGATATGGTGGTATGTGTTTTAAAATGTTTCAAAAGGCTTTGGTTGCCTAAACAGTTTTTATATATCCCACCTCATCTTTATATCAAACTATTATTATTATTAAGACGAATGCACAAACTTCATATTTAAAACCTATCTAATTGATGCAGTGGCTTTTCTTTTTGTGAACCAAAACATTATACTACATTAAACTTTTGATGTACGTGGAATTCACTTTGCCTGCTTTTCTATTTGAGTGAGAAACGAAGCCAAAAACATGATAAAAAATTGACTGACATGCAGTCCGAAGTTAATGCTAGTTCTTCCGTCAAGTGAATACTAAGAATGATTGGAAATCAATTTTAAGCTATCACAAAAGTATCCAATAATTATGGAGACAACTTAGAGATAGCTCTTCATTAAAAACAGCTACAAGTCAAAATACACACAACATTCGGTCTTCGCACTTTTATACGTAATACTTGTTGCACAACCATTATTAAAATAAAATGACAAAACACGAGTAAAGAGCACCATAAGATTATAAATTACATACGTTCTAACGGTGCACGACTAACCACAGCTGATAACCAGAGTTCACGATGAAAAACTGAGAGAGGTGGCGAATCCACCTGATACACCGTAGCTTCTGAAATAGGTGAACTTGGATGATTTGAAGCAGAAGTAGTGAAGCGATGTGATACATTCGGACCTTGGCGTGACAAGTGAATGGAGAAATAAATGTATTATGAACTTACCAACCACACCAAAAATCACAGAAGATCCAATAATTAAAACGAATATAACTATAACGACAAACATGCAACATTTCGTCATTTTATACAAACGCATTGGAACAGACCTGTAAAAAAATAAATCGGATGATAATTACAGGTCATAAATCAAATGGTTTATTCATTTGGTTGTAAATGGTTAAATGTAGGCATACACAGTGGTTAGACATGGGTTATCTTATAAAAGAACTAATTTAATAGCCTACTAGAAAGTACACATGAAATCGTGACACTCAGCACTTCAGAAACTTAAAAGTTGTAACGAGATCAGTATTACACTGAGAAATGTTGCTACAAATTTAAATAATTTATGACTTCATGGAACTAAATGAAAAATGTTTACAACTATAGGAATTAATTTGCCCTCCTTACTTAAAACTCGATCCATATGAAGATTTAACGAAGGATACAATGCAAAGATACCGACGATATAAAAGAGCCAATGATACCTTTATGTGATTTACCAACAAAGACGCCTTTTCACAGTCATGAATGGCAAAATAGTTTAGCTGTATATCAGGTGGAAGAAGACATGGGCGAATAACACCGATTTCAACTAGCTATCACTAAACCTTACTCCATTATACATGGCTGACTGATAAAATCAACGTAGAACCTTGCACACAGGGGCATCGATTAAAGCTGCCACACTTCACAGAAGTACACAAACAGTAAGTGGATAGAAAAGGAGTGACATCAACTCCCCTTAAATTGAAACCTCATGAATAACGATTTCTTTCAAATGCTCAAAAACTACATGAAATAAAGGATGTCAAATGACTTCTATATGCCTGGTCATTGGATGTCGCTGTAACATGAAACAAGGTTAATACACTTTCTTGACAAATGAGAGCTGAGAATATAACAATAAATTATAAAAAGCAATACGGAGGAGTAGAACTTCGGAACCGTGGTAGATTTTAGTTCCATTTTAGCTTCTCTATTAGATACATGACATAGTGAAATAGCGTAATTTGTTGGATGACGTTACAGACACAATTTATTATCCATATTCATATCAACGTAACTCCACAACATTGAGACATGGTTTTTATTCTTTGAACTATGTCTTCTCTAAAGAATGATTGCCACTGGTTTCAATTATGAGCCATATACGATAACACCATGAGCCACTCCACCCAGTATGTCGAGCTGTGTTTCACCAGTCTAGGCACTCGACTTCCAACTAGTGGGCCACGGGTTTGAACCCCACTCCTCCTGCCAAAGTGGGCAGCTGGTTAATACCATTAACCTCCAAACAATAGATGTGGCTAATTACTTACGGCACGAACGTGCATACAGTTGAACAGAGGATTTCCTTCCGACTGATTCCTATGACTTGTCAAACCTCTTCCAGACAGTTAAAATGAGCCAAAAGATGTTAACTCAAGATAAATGTTCTCAATTCCATGCAAAAACACACTAAGCACTGACCACCTATCCGCTTCCATCGAAGCTCAGAGCCACCAAACAGTGATGCAACAGACACCAAGACGACATTAGTAGCATAGCTTCAGGCAGACAAGATCCACGAATGATTCTTCATTTAACCTCACCCAGCTAAGTTGGCGAATCTGCAAAATCAGCTTTAGGGTTTTGGCAGATTTAACGGTTGATACTCACGGTTTTTCAGGTGTAGTAGATATACCATCCAGTCCCAAGAGAGAAATCGCACTACACAGATGAATCCTTGTCGACAGTCACCTAGGTTCTATCTAATGACGACTAGTACAGTGAAGGTTAAAAAGAAGTGAAACTCGCTACCGTCTAATGTAAGAGTAAAACCTGGGTACTGTGAAAAAGTATGGCTCCATATTAGATTTTTTACTTCCTATGGCACATAGCGATGAAGTATTAGTTACTGGATGACATTTCGAGCAGAATTTGTTGCTCATATTCATATGTTATGAATGTGAGCTATAAATTCTCCTTACACAGTAATACCCTGTTAGAAGTAGCATGAAATCTGAATCCTGTATTAACCAGGTTTAAATAACAGCCACTACACAACGACCTAGTTCATAGACTACAGTCACAAGATCTGCTATTTTATTTCTAATGCTGTGAACATCGGTGCAGACTTCATTCACAGCGTTTGGCCCATGCATACAGGCCTTGGAAGCATTCTCTTCCAGGACCTCACAACCCGAAAACCCACAGCTGTAGGATTCTTTTCTCCAGTAGTTTGTCGAGCTTTAAGCTCAGTAAGAGCTTCTCTTCTTTTCATCTGGTCTTCGAGAGGTTAGTCAGGTCGGATGCGAATGTTAAAATTTCGTAGTTTCGATGCGTTACTCAAGAGTACATCCGCTCCATTCTTGTCGCCAAGATCAACCTTCAAAACCTTCCTCTCACTATGTTTTTTTTCTTACCTAACCTTACTACTTTGGAGATTTGTACTCCTTCAGATGCTTCAGGCAGAATATGTCTGATGAGAACTCGATCAGCTTCAAACCATGTCCGATAACTCTTCAACATTCTGTAAAATCACACTCGACTCTGTTGAGAAATCTTTGGATCGCGTGTTGACGGCCTTCGAACTTTCTCGACAGTCGATGACTGCTAGATTGACAGTATTTTCCGGATCATAGTCATTCATGAGTCCCACTAAGGTATCAGAATTCCATAGTACTATAATTGACTGCTATTATGTGGATTTGAGGTGTGAATGACGAGGGATTAGAAAATTTGTATTTTCTGGTCGATATCGACCAGTTTTCTAAAATGTCCTAACCGTATATGACTAAAATTTCGACTACATTGCGGAGAAATTTTATGAAAGCGTCACTTACGTCCCAAGGTCACGCTGTAGGAACATCATTGCATATATTTTTGTCCTTTATGACCGTGAACGTTACAGCTACACCAGCTGTAACGCAACAATTCAAAAGTCCGATGTCAAAACTGTTGTAGCGACCATCCAACGTTAGAGGTGAGGGCGTAGAAAACTGACCGTCTTTGATCTTTTGCATCTAATTCTTAGGGCTCGGTTGAAGTTGTTCAGTTTGCTTCTGCAGCGGACAAGGAAGTCTCTTCTGCTTTCTTGCTTTAGCTTTGATGAGGTGGATATTTTATGAGTTGGTAAAATGCGATTTGTAGAGCTTTTAAACAGCTGAGGGTTGCTGTGAAGATCAGGAGCCTGTCGTGACTCATGTCTGAGTAAGTGCCAGAATAGTAATAGCAAGACTGTGGGAAAAATTATATGGGAATTTCCCGAGAGGTAAAGTAGATAGCATGGGTCTAGTTGCTAGAGAAGAGTTTGTAGACGATGCAGGTGCATCAACAAGAAAGGAAGTGAGTGCCAAGTAGAAGGGAAGTAATTGTGTGCCAGTGGGGTCAGTAACTCCTTGAGCATATTTGGGAAATGACATGACCATGCAGCTGTCTTTTGAATGATAAGTTTTCGTCTAGCCTGTAGGTAGGTACGCCATCACAGGGGGAGCATAGCGAGACGTGAGTTTAGTGGTGGCCACCAGAATCTGGAAGAGAAAATGAGGAGCGAAAGGTGAATCGCGTCTCACCAAATATACAGGATATATTTACATTCAATAATCAAAGATAACTGACAAATGGCGGAGCTAGACAACGAAGAGGTGAGGTGGTCTAGAAATCGAGACTTGAAATGGATGAGTAAGGTTTCAAGTGCATTACGCTATGCTGCAGTTTCAAGGCTTTAAAGCGCCCAAACTTAAAACCTCGTTTCGTAGAATTAGAGAACAATGGATCGTGTAGTTCTTCAGCCGTCTTAATACGGTCGTTTCTTTGTTGACTTCATCACTATTCTTTCCGCCTTCTGAAAACTCTGAACTTCCAGAGACAGTGAAGTTATTAACTAATCAGCTCGCTTGTGTTAGTACTGATGCCCGTGGCTTGTACAACGACGAGTAGCATCTCGCCCCATCTAAGCCACAGGAATACAGGAGTGCATATAACATACTTCTGAATGCACCAGAAGAAGTGGTTTAAACAGTTTCAAAAGGGCACTTCCACAGTTTAGATAGTCCGAGTGCAAACCAGTTGGCACGAGTCATCACAAGTGCCCTCACAGGCCCTACGCATGAGGGATAACCCCTAAGCCTGTGTTTTTAATTCAAACTCAACAGCAATCGCTTGGGATGAAAAGGATTGTAGGCCTCATGATACGTCGTAACTATGTCCACTCTGATCCTCCTGTGTTGTATTAGATGCAGGTTTGGAGAAGATAAGGATCTAAATAAAGCTTTTGCCCTGGCCTAATCATTTTTCTCAACTCTTTCTGGACCCTTGCTAAGGTATTAACGCCCCTCTTCAGGTATGGAGTTATGACTAGCTAGTTTTCCTCTAGATGACGAGTATGCAGTCTAGATATGGCCAGAGTTAGGCCTCCTAGAGTTTGAGAAACAAACCCCACTACTCCATATACCCTCTTGGCCGCAAGGCAACAGTGAACAGAAGCTCCAAGTGTATCACCGAGGTTACCTGTGAAAATCCGTAAGCTCCACGAAAGTCCGAGCTTTAGAGTTGTACAGCAGTGATGTCAGGTCTTATGTAAGTAACGCACCCCCTCCTCGACGATTTAGTCCGTTACCTTAAAAGAGTGATAGTTTGTAGAGAAGACATTCATGTCACAACTGCTGGAAGCAAACTGGGCTGCTGTGGTCATTATTACGGGCAAATCACATATCAAGCATGCAGGTGTGACCTCCTTCATTTTGTTGAGTATCGACAGGGAATTAACCAGTAAATATACAGTCAATCCAGGGGTACAAAGTACTTACACTCATCTCAGAAAAATTTCTGGTGATCTTAAGTGTCGGCCAGAGTTCTGAGCAAAGTTGATGGGACTGTTGCGCGTGCCCCGCTGGCGGTGACGTGACCACCCGTAACATCATCATCAGCGTGAAATGGCGACAAGAGGTCAGTTACAACGGGTGGAGTGAGGCATTCGCTAGAACGAGATTGCAGGGGCCTGCTGGACAAGGTAAACAGCAGATGGTCTGACAGGAGGCGAACTATTTGCGCTGCTATCGAAATTGCAGTTATTCACTGCCTAAACAATTTTGTGGTAAGATTTGGTAGGGAACGACAAATCACACCGTCTCCCAGCTGGTTGCTGTGCGTATCATGGCCGTGGCTGACATCATATTTGCCAGAGTTCCCGGGGACCGTCTGGTGCAATAATGTCTCCAAGCGGCATAAGACGCACTGTTCAAAATCCGGGTGGATCACGGTGTTAGGTTTATTGTTACCGTTCAACACAATGCTTAGCATGCGTATAGGCCGCGAAACTTGGTCACAGTAAGAAACTGCCATAAATGAGAGGCTGTGAATGAGTGTCGGCTTGTTCGAGAGTAACTATTTGGTCGGATATGGGATAAGCTGAGCGGAAATGGCCGACATTTTTATCACTGTTATCATACGAGCGTGATAAGGATTAGGCGCTTCACACTGTCTTCCAGCCTACTGACTGAGTGCTAATCCAATCACACAGCGCATTAACCAGCTTGAGTAGGTGCCCGGCAGACCCAATGTTGCTGCGATTAGCAAAAGTGAAATTGCCTGTCGCCTTTGTATTTGAAGTAAATATCTTGTGTTTAGGCCGGCGGGGAGAAAGACCATACAGATTTCGCTTCAGCGACTTGTGTGATTAAGCGATAACCTACAGCACATATCAAGCGGACAAACCTTTCTGATTTCCCTTCACCCGCTTTCGGATGCAGCTCGTAAATTTCATCTGTTGGATGCTGAATACAAAGTTGCTTCGAGCAACCACCAACCTCTAATAAGCCAACACAGCTGAGTTTCTATACATTCGCTCACTCGCCGGTATATATGTATGTTCGTAACAGAACTTGTATCAGTCTTCCAGTTACGGTGAAACTATGTTTGTATCCATCTTCTGTAATGCACCTACGCTCGGAGTTTCGCTTTACCTTCGTCGGTGCTGTTTCACTCTACTGTAGGTCGCACTGCCTTGGCCTTGATTTGGCTGCCTGTTTGAGGCAGTTCTGTTGTTTCATCTGACTTTCGCGGAAAGATATTTCAGTTCCTTTTTTGAAATACCTTTTGATTTACCGTGGGTACTTAATCTTGGTATGCAAATGCACTCACGTGGCTAGGAAATCGGAATAGTTGTAACAGCTACTCACTATTTACGTAGTCACAATCTATTGTCTGAAAATGAATGTCATAAGACCGAATTGCGAGGAAAATCCTTCCTCAACAAGTTCTATCACATCTGGAATAGACTTCCTGAGGAAGTGCGCACGGCAGGCCCATTACCTGTCTTTCGTTCTTCACGTTACAAGCCCCCAACAGATGATGAATCTGTCACTCACCTAAGCACTATCTATACGTTGTGGGCTAATGAAGACATAGTAGGACCTCCAGACACATAGAGTAAGGCTATCATAAATCGCAAGTACCTTTTACCCCAATTACCCGAAAAGGATGTCTGATTACTGGTCCATCTGGTCGGATTGTGCAGTACAAACACATGGTCAGTGTTCCCTTTAAGTTTGCCCGCAAAAACTGTCTATCTTATAACTCTCGCGTACCTCATTTAAAAAAAGGAAGTTATTCCTATATGCTTAAACTGAAGTTTACATGTGGTTCGAATGACTCTAAAAAGACGAGAACTTCCCTCATCTCAGTTTGTTTCACGTGGTATTCCACTGCCAAGTTTCTCCCTGTATGTTCTTTTCTCTTCCCTTTTCAGTATCAACCTAACGAGAACATGCCAAGCATTAATTTGATCAAAAAGTATCAACTTACTGAAAATCTACTTCGTAAGTAATATTGGAAACTGGTGTTAGAATTATTCAACTGGCTTGCTCCCGCTTTCCTGTTTCTTGAACAGCTTCACAATCAACTCATCTGCCGACCAGTATCCTAAATGCTACCACATACGAAACCTCAGGCACAATAACTGGCCTCCGATTTCAGGTCCGCCACGACTGCAGCGGAAATCTGGATAAACAATCGAATCCGAGAGATCACGTCACCTAACGGCAATGCATCCATAATAATGCCATGCAACAGATTTCTCTATTCCTTTGTCTTGTGTGAGTCCATCTAATGGAGGTCAACTGACAGCCAATGTATCTCCTTGACAATGCTGCATGCTTCAGTGGGAGATCTGTGAAGTTTCACATGTGTAAAACTCACCACTGTTGACGACGACTCTTCCAGTCTTTGATTACTTGCACCACAACGAATGTCTTCAGTATTATCAGTCTGAATTGCTGGAAGAGATAGCACTTGAAGATTATAAAATGCTTGAACTTAGATATTCACCTGGATTAAATTATTGTATGGATACCTACTTATTCCCGAAATCATTGAAGTTGGCTGTTATTGGTCAATAAAGCCACGGACACAAGAAATGCTGTTAAGATAGGCGTTTATCTGACTAAACCCTGGGTTTTGCAGAAGGGTCGATCATGTCGACAGCTCACAAAGCAAACACCGAATACTGCACCGATTTAATGCCACTTTAGTGTGAAAGAAGGAAATATGAATAGGAATGATCTAAACTCAGAAAGATGTATATATACCGTAAAGTGATATCTTCCTGCTCTTTTCATAACTTTTAGACACTTGATATCATGATAAAGTTCAGTGTTCTCCTTCTGTATCATTCAGCACCGCTCAACTGTTTTAGATTTTTCTGCAATTATCAATTCGATGATCCCTGTAAACCGGCTGCCCTCATGTTAAATTCATAACTCGAGAAAGAATGTCAATTAATTTATTCATTACTAACCGATGTGTTTTGCAAGAGGAGTCAGTGCTTTTGCAACAGGGAAGTTATCATTGAGAGTAGAGTGCTGTGGCTGTACT